CAATTATCAAGTTCTAAGTATATCTATAATAAATAGTAATTAATTAATTATATATGATAAATTGATAAACATTAATAAATTTAATTACTAGTTAAATATCATACTTAATCAATTATAACATATATTATAGTTAAATGATTACTTAATTAATTATAATTTTATAACATTACTTAATATTTATAGTATAATTAATTATAGCATTACATTAATTGATTATACTTAATTAATTGACTTATAGTTATAACATAATTAAATAGTTAATTAATTGACTTATATTAGAAATTTAATTAATTATAGCATTACGTTATAGATTTATAGTATAATTACTTAATCAACTATAACATATTATTATAAACATTAGTACAAACTTAATTAAATGATCAAAAATTTATTAATATATATTAAATTAAAAATTTATAGTATGGTTACTTAATAGTTAATTCACTATAACATTACATTATAGTATAATTATATAATTAATTATAACATTACATAATTAATAATTACTTAATTGATTATGTCATATATTATAAATATTAGTAATTACTAATTTACTACATAAACATTAGCATAATACTTAATTAAATGATAAGAAATTTAATTAATCATAACATTACTTATAAACATTTCATTATAAACATTATTAAGCATTACATTATAGTTAAATAATTACTCAATTAAATTATAATATTATATATTACATATATTATGATCACTTATAATTATAGCATTATAGTTAAATGATTACATAATTACATAATTAGTTATGAATTTATAACATTACATTATAACATTAGTAATTTAGTAATTTATCTATATTATCATTACTTAATTAAACGATTAAGAATTTAATTAATTATAACATTACCTTATACATTTATATATGATTACTTAATCAATATAACATTCCATATAAACATTAGTATATTAATCAGATTTGAAATTAATAATATAATATTAAATTATAGATTTATAGTTGATTACTTAATTTATTATAACATTACATTATACTATTATAATATGAATATAATTAATATAACATTACTAATTAAATGATTACTTAATTGTGAGTTATGATATTATGTTTTAAACATTGTAATTACTAATTTACTACATAAACTTAGCAAATATTTAATTAAATGATAGAAATTTAATAATTATAACATTACCTTATAAAATTTCATTATAAATATAATTAAATATTACATTATAGTAAATAATTTTTTAATTAAATTTAAATATTATATTACAATATATTATAATCACTTACTTAATTATAGCATTACATAGTTAAATGATTATATAATTATTAATTAGTTATGAATTTATAACATATATTATAAACATTAGTAATTTACTATATTATTACATTACTTAATTAAACGATTAAAATTTAATTAATTATAACATTACTTACTATATATTTATAATAATTACTTAATCAATTATAACATTCATTATAAACATTAGTATATTAATCAAATGATTTGAAATTTAATTAATATAATATTAAATTATAGATTTATGTATGATTACCTAATTCATTATAACATTACATATACTAATAGTATGATCATATAATTAATATAACATACATAATTAAATGATTACTTATTGATTATGAATTATGATATTATGTTTAAACATTGGTAATTACTAATTATTACGTAAATTAGCCAATATTTAATTAAATGATAAGAAATTTAATAATTATAACACCTTATAAACATTTCATTATAAACATTAATTAAGCATTACATTATAATAAATAATTACTCAATTAAATTATAAATTATTATTATTAAATTATATAATACACTTACTTAATTATAGCATTACATAGTTAATATGTACATAATAATAATTAGTTATGAATTTATAAAATTACATTATAAACATTAGTAATTTACTAATTACTATATTATACATTACTTAATTAAACGATTAAAAATTAATTAATTATAACATTACCTTATATATTTATAATATAATTACTTAATCAATTATAACATTCCATTATAAACATTAGTATAAATCAAATGATTTGAAATTTAATTAATTATAATATTAAATTATAGATTTAAGTATGATTACTTAATTCATTATAACATTACATTATATTATTATAGTATGATCATATAATTAATATAACATTACATAATTAAATGATTACTTAATTGATTATGAGTTATGATATTATGTTTTAAACATTAGTAATTACTAATTTACTACATAAACCATCAGCACAATATTTAATTAAATGATAAGAAATTTAATTAATTATAACATTACTTATAAACATTAATTAAGCATTACATTATAGTTAAATAATTACTCAATTAATATATATTATTATATTACATTATATATTATGATCACTTACTTAATTATAGCATTACATAGTTAAATGATTACATAATTATATAATTAGTTATGAATTAACATTACATTATAAACATTTTAACATTAGTAATTTACTAATTTACTATATTATTACTTTACTTAAACGATTAAAAATTTAATTAATTATACATACCTTTATATTTATAATATGATTACTTAATCAATATAACATTCTATATAAACATTAGTATATTAATCAAATGATTTGAATTTAATAAATAATATTAAATTATAGATTTATAGTATGATTACTTAATTCATTATAACATTACATTATTATAAGTACGATCATATAATTAATATAACATTATATAATTAAATGATTACTTAATTGATTATGAGTTATGATATTATGTTTTAAACATTGTATAATACTAATTTACTACATAAACATTAGCACAATACTTAATTAAATGATAAGAAATTAATTAATTATAACATTATCTTATAACATTTCATTATAAACATTAATAAGCATTACAATAGTTAAATAATTACTCAATTAAATTATAATATTATTATTTACATTATATTATGATCACTTACTTAATTATAGCATATATAGTTAAATGATTACATAATTACTTAATTAGTTATGAATTTATACACTTACATTATAAACATTAATAATTTACTATACTATTACATACTTAATTAAACGATTAAAATTTAATTAATTTAACATTACTTTTATATTTGTAATATAATTACTTAATCAATTATAACATTCCATTATAAACATAGTATATTATAAAAAAATTTGAAATTTAATTAATATAATATAAATTATAGATTTGTAGTATAATTACTTAATTCATTATAAAATTACATTATACTATTATAGTATGATCATATAATTAATTAACATTACATAATTAAATGATTACTTAATTGATTATGACATTATATTATAAACATTAGTAATTTACTAATTTACACAATACTTAATCAAATTATTATAACATTATATTATAAATTTATGGTATGATTATTTAATTAATTATAACATTCTATTATAAACAATATTACAATACTTAATTAAATGATTAACAATTCAAGTGTTGCTTAGAGATTACAGGTTATGAGTGACATTGGACACAAATAAATGAATAATGAAAATTTGTTAGGGGTGTATTTGTAAACTTATAAGGTGTTTTTGTTATTTTTTAAACTAATAGGGCGGTAATTAATTTTTTACAGGGTACCCTGGAAAGGAACCGGAACCTGCATTTTAGGTTCTGGTTCCTTGAATTGAAGAACCTGCACTGTGCAGTTCCGGTTTCGATTCTTTTTTTTGGGAAGCTGCACTGTGCGGTTCCGGTTCCAGTTCCCCCAGAAAATGTAGGGTACCCGGAACCTCTCACCCCTAGTTATATGCACAATTTAAGATACCTTGATCTTTCTGGAAATTTCTTCCAAGGTATAATTCCTCACCAGCTTGGAAACCTCTCTAATCTGCAGTATCTTGCCCTCGATAGCAGTTTAGATGTTGAATATTTAGGGTGGTTATCTCATCTTTCTTTGTTGGAACACCCTGACTTGAGTGGTGTGGATCTCAGCCAATCCTCTGATTGGCTGCATGTGATCAATACACTCCCTTCTCTAATAGTGTTAAAATTGTCAGGTTGTGGAATCCATCATTTTCCTCAACTACCCATTGTAAATTTTTCGTTTCTTGAGACCCTTGATCTGAGTTTTAATCATTTTGAAGGTCCAATTCCTTACGGACTTCAAAACTTGACTTTCCTTAGAAATCTTGATTTATCTTACAATAATTTCAATTCTGCAATACCCAATTGGTTTTACAGACTTAGCCGTCTCCAGGAACTTTTTCTTCATGATATTTGGTTGAAAGGCATGTTAGAGATTCTAGGAAATCTGACATCTATAGAAGAGCTTGATCTCTTATCAAATGGATTTGAAGGTGGAATCCCAAAATCAATGGGACGATTTTGCAACTTAAGGTCAATCACTATCTCATTTTTCAATTTAAGCCAACCAATATCTGATGTCCTTGATTTTTTTTTCTAGATGTGTTTCAGATGTACTAGAGATTTTGAATTTAAGTGAAAGTCAAGTTTTTGGTCAATTTACCGATAGATTTGGACAATTTAAAAAGTTAGATAGGCTTAATCTGTTTAACAATTCTATTTCAGGTTCTATTCCATCCTCTTTAGGAGAACTATCATCGTTAAAATATCTTCATATTGGCTATAACAAATTGAATGGAACTGTTTCTGAGATGCATTTTTCCAATCTGACAAGATTATTAGAATTTTATGCACATGAAAATTCATTAATATTCCAAGTCAGTCCTCATTGGGTTCCTCATTTTAAACTTGAATCTCTAGGATTAGCATCGTGTCATTTAGGGCCTCAATTTCTACTGTGGCTTCGTTCACAAAAACATTTAGAATATCTTGACATATCCAATTCAAGAATTAAAGATGCTATTCCAACATTTTTATTCAAAATTCCTTTCTATTTTGTAAATCTCTCTCACAACCAACTCTATGGGCATATTCCAAATTTAACAGAGTCCACTCAACTTTTAGGGCTTGACTTGAATTCAAATCGTTTATCAGGTCCATTGCCTCTTTTACCCTTCAACTTGTATCTACTTGATCTTTCCAACAACGCTTTGTCAGGATCAATTTTCCATTTCTTGTGTCATAAGATGAATGAGTCAACGCGCATGATGCAAATTCTCATCCTTAATAACAACTTTTTGTCAGAAGTTATACCTAATTGTTGGATGAATTTGAAAGGTTTAAAAGTCCTGAATTTAGGTAACAATAGATTCACGAGTAAGCTTCCATCTTCTATTGGGACTTTAAGTTCTCTTGAATGGTTAAACCTTCGCAAAAACCACTTTTCTGGAACAATTCTTGTGTCACTCAAAAATTGTACGCAGATGGTGTTGCTTGATTTGGGTGAAAATGAGTTTGTTGGAAATCTCAAGGTGTGGGTTGGAGAGAGATTTTCAAGAATGAAGATTCTCAACCTTAGATCAAATAAGTTTTCTGGCCATTTACCAAAAGAACTTTGCAATCTTCGTTCTCTGCAAATCTTAGACCTTGCAGATAACAACTTCTTTGGAACCATACCAAGATGCATCAATAACTTCAGTGCCATGATGAAAATTAGCTTTAATGAGGAAAGCGATATGACTTATCAATCTTCTGGAGATGTTTTTTCAACATATTTGGAGAGTGAACTACTTGTGAAGAAAGGTCACATGGTTGAATACAACACAATTTTGAAGTTCGTGAGAGGTATAGACCTTTCAAAAAATAATTTCTTTGGATAGATTCCTATGGAAGTGACAAATCTTTCAGAATTGCAGTCATTAAACCTATCACACAATGGTTTTACTTGAAGAATTCCGGTGAACATTGGTGCTATGAGATCTCTAGAGTCTATCGATTTCTCCAGAAATCAACTTTCAGGTGAAATCCCACAAAGCATTTCAAGTTTGACGTTTTTGAGTGACTTGAACTTGTCCAACAACAACTTAATCGGAAGAATTCCTTCAAGCACTCAATTAAGTGGCTTTGAGGCATCCTATTTTACAAGAAACCAACTTTGTGGACCTCCACTTCCTAATAATTGTACTGTGCCTACTCCAACAATTAACAGTTAGAACAAAGGAAAGAAAGATGATAATGAAGATGAAGTGAACTGGTTCTTTGTGAGCATGGCACTTGGATTTGTTGTGGGATTCTGGAGTTTTATAGGTTCTCTACTTGTCAGCCGAAGATGGAGATACTTGTATTACGAATTCTTGAATAGCCTCCAAGACAAACTGGGCAGTGTTGTAAGAAAATGTTACTAGAGTTCTTTTTTTTTTTTTTTTTGGTTTCGTCTTTTGTCGCTTGGAGCTTACTTTGTATGTACCAAAAAGGAAGTGAGTAATTGTTTGAACGTTTGTCATGAAATGATATCTGCTATCTTTTTTGCAAATAAAAAAAATTATGTTAATGCATTCATTGCTTTAACACACTGATCAGTGACTAGAATTGTTGTAGAATGATCAAATTTTTCGTTTTAATGGGGCCTGCAAAAATTGAATAGATGATATAAATGTGAATAAATAAAATATTAATGGCAAAATGTCATGATCAACCTCAACACCACTTCTAGTACTCACAAATCCCGCATTTTTCTCTCTTCCATAAATAGACTTCAATTTTTGATCTTCAAGACCGACTCTGGACTTTCTATCTCCCTTGCTCACAAAGAAACACACATACCCATTTCAAGAGACGGTTTTTTAAACATCATTTGTGAGTTCCAACAATGGAGGAAGTGGTACAACTTGGCGTTGAAGTGAGACAAGAGTTGATGGTTGTTGGAATCATAAAAATGACTCCATTAAAGTGATTTAATACCCTTTGTCATGATTTAATTGAATATATATAGAGACAATATGTGAACTTATGAATTTATTGATTAAAAATCACATTTTAATGTTTTCATACTAATTTTGCATGTTTGAATGATTTTGGAAACAGTGTGAGTTGATATTAGGTTGTGGTTTATGGATTAGGGTTGATTCTGTCTCATTTATGTTTATTAGGGGGTAAAATGTCATGTTTTCAAGGGGTTTATTTTGTCACTTTTTAAATGTACAGGGACTATGAATTTTCCACATTTTCTATAAAAGGAAAGAGAACCGTGGTAATCCTTTGCTCGTCTCCACTGGATTTTGACCATCTCCGGTGACCCTTCTTCTTCCAAAACTCCGATCGGCCATCACCTCCATCATCTCCTTGAAGATTCGCCGTGGTTGCCATTCATCACCATTTGCGCCGCCACAATTCTTTTTTTTTTCGGCAACGTTTTGTCTCATTCGACATCGTTTCAGCTTCCCCAAGCGTCGACTTCTTCTTCCCATTGCCGAGAGCTGTCGGTCGACGTCTCACATCACTGTTTTGCGCCATCGCGACGTTCCACCTTCCAGTCGCAATTCTTCCTTTTTATGGCGTCGTTTCGTCTTCTCTAAGTTGATTCAGCTTCCCCAAATGCCGACCATCCTTTCCTCAGTGTTCCCTAGCATTTCCGTCGCCTTTCACCATCCATCGCCGTGAACCACCGCCGGAATCCTCGGCCGTCGACCCGTCTCTTCGTCTTTAGCCAACCGTTCAACTTCCGAGCTCACCTTGGTTCTCCCTCATCCACAAAACAACCACTCCAGCTACCGGGGACTTTTTTTCCATCATGGGAAGTAACCATTCACCTTCCCTAGCCTCCGTCGACACCACTATGAGCGACTGAGCACCGGTTGCCTATTAGGCAGAGGCGAGGCCAGGATTCAGGCTATAGTTTTGTTTACTTGAACTTTGACTAATTGGATTATTAATTAGACATTGAACATATGATTTGATTGTTGTGTTTTCTGATTTTAGGATTGTTTTGTTTCGATACGATTACAATACAATGCATGATTTGAATTATGAAACGCTTTGTTGGATTTGTGTTCGTTGTGAAACCAAATTGATTGCATGTTGAATGTTGGGTTTGAAAGTTCTGAATGATTGATTGTGGTTTTTGTTTCAATATTGATTACAATCTTACTATATATTGTCATTCAGTAATGTTTCTGCTATGATTTCAGTCAAGTGTGATAAATTTATGATTGTATTACAAGGATTATGGATTGTATTTATTCTCTTTGTACCAATTAGTGGTTTTAATTGTTCTTTAACCAATCAACCTGTAACTAAGATGACATGGAGACAGGATAGGTTATACCTAAGTTGTGGAGAGACTTCTTTATGTGATTTGCCTAGCCTTGTAGGTTTAAGAAATATATGAGTGAGAAGAAGAGTTGTGTGCCAATCCTGAGTTGAGCCGAAGTTGTAGGGCAACGTCTATAATATTGTGTTTCAGTTAGTAATTAGATTTCCTGCAATTAATTTCTTAGGATACTAGTTAATTAAAATTTTCCATTTTTACTTTCGTTTGCTCAATCATACCTTAGGTTGATAGTAATTGCTTTTTGTGTATTCGACCCTACTTACTGTTAACTACGGTATTTAGGTTAATTTTGTCATCATGATGACTAGTTCAACAATGGTTCCACCAAGTGATGGGATTCCTTAATGTTGGTCCCGTTCTCCATAAACTTCTTCATCCAAGATGTTCTGCAGGTTTTTCCAAGGACCCATCTGATCTTGGCAGGTGATTTTTATTCAGATTATCGTCATTTCCTTTCAATTCTCCGCTCTAAACAGAGTGCAAAACAGGAGATGCGAGTGTCGGTTTCAGGACACTTGCTATTACTATGCAATGCCAAAAGCTAATCACAAATTCTTCAGAGTACTGATTCTTTCTGCATGGAGAAGCATATATCTGAAACTACCCAGGAAACATTTATATGGTGAGACAAGAAGCACTTCAAGTGAATTAATGTTGCTTGATGATCAAGATTTAATAGATAATATATGAAATCTAATTATAGAAATATTATTAGATATTCTTTGTTTTATTATCTTTTTTGAATGCAAGGCCACAGGAGTACCGTTAATTGAATTGAATAAAGAAACCAAAAGACTCTTGAATAAAATGATCAATGATGAATACTTTTCAAAAGGAAAATGAAAGGACAACCCAGGATACTGATAGTCTTCTCATTACACCAGATTATCCAAGATAGTAACAAGTCTAAGTATCCTTAACTGTTATTTTCTTCCCATTCAAAAGAAGTTCATGAGAGGTATAGACCTTTCAAAAAATAATTTCTTCGGATAGATTCCTATGGAAGTGACAAATCTTTTAGAATTGCAGTCATTAAACCTATTGCACAATGATTTTACTGGAAGAATTCCGCAGAACATTGGTACTATGAGATATTTAGAGTCTATCGATTTCTCCAAAAATCAACTTTCAAGTGAAATCTCACAAAGCATTTTCAGGTTTGACCTTTTTGAGTGACTTGAACTTATCCAACAACAACTTAACAGGAAGAATTCCTTCAAGCTCCCAATTAAGTGGCTTTGATCCATCCTGTTTTACTGGAAACCAACTTTGTGGACCTCCACTTCCTAATAATTGTACTGTGACTATTCCAACACTCAACGATCTGAACAGAGGAGAGAAAGATGGTAATGAAGATGAAGTGAACTGGTTCTTTGTGAGCATGGCACTTGGATTTGTTGTGGGATTCTGGAGTTTTTTTAGGTTCTCTACTCATCAGCTAAAGATGGAGGTACTTGTATTGCTGATTCTTGAATAGCCTCCAAGACAAGTTGGACAGTGTTGCAAGAAAATGTTACTAGTTTTTTTTTTTTTTTTTTTTTTCTTCGTTTGTTGCTTACTTTGTATGTATAAAAAAGGGATGTGAGTAATGGTTTGAACGTTTGTCATGAAATGATAATTGCTATCATTTTTACAAACCAAAAAGATTATGTTAATGCATTCATTGCTTTAGCACATTGATCAGTGACGAGAATATTGTAGAATGATCAAATTTTTCATTTTAATTGGGTGAGCTAAAATTGAACAGATCACATAAATATGAATAAATAAAAAATTAAATGCAAAATATAAAAAGAAAGGTAGACAAAAAGTGAACGTATATTTAAAGGAATATATACAAAATTAAGTATACAAGGTGAATATATATTGACATTGATCTATCTTCCTTTGATGAGTTTACATTTTCACCTTCCAAACCATAATACGACACATCACTGTATACACTAGACATGGAAGAGAAGATTTTCGCTTCAGAAAACAGAGATAGATATTTGAAAATCCAATATATTTAAAAAAGAACTTCATAATAGATGTAAAAATAATCAATTATCAAATAACTCCAAAAAAAAAATTATTAATACTATGCATTTTCAACGCAGGTTAAGCAATAAATGGTCTGAATATACATTATTTATAATGTATGATTAAGATTTGTTTTCTTTTAATATCTTTCTTATTAACTATATGGGCAAAAATTGTATTGGACCTGACAAAATCCAATAACAATGTGAACATGCCACAACTCAAGTCCTTGGCCCATCTTCGGTTGAGCTCACGCTTAAAATGCCTTGTGAATTGCCTGTTCTATGAATTTGGCCACCCCACGATTTAAGCTGAATTGGGTCCAACTCATTCGCTCACGACAATCTACAATAGGGATTAGAGTCCTAGTCAAATTTTTCTTCCAACAAGATCTTAAATCTTACCCAAAGAGGAAAATCTGAACCGATAAAGGCAAGAAATTTGATCTCCCTCCAAAAGGAGAACTCCCCTGTTAAGTAGGACTCAAAGTCCTACTAAGATTCTAACACCATTAGGTTCACTATATAAACAGAGGCGAACCCTCTCATTAAGCATTCAGAAATCACAGTTAAGCTCTTGCACTTTCACCCCCAAGCTTCTTGCTGATTCCAATGACATCTTAGCGTTACTAGGGTCCTCACAACTGCAATAGAGTTATTAGGGCCTTCACAATCACAAAGGCACCCTCTGCAGGCCCAGCAAGATTGTGGCTCACATCACAAGATTTTGTCTCAACAATTGTAATAGTAGATTTTACCGTCTACATCAACCACTAATCACAACCTTGTATTTTGTTTAGGTAAATATTAAATCATTAGTGTTTAGAGTTTAGCTTGAATGTGCTAAACAGGGATTAGACCAATGGTATGAACATTTGAGACATGAAATCATATTTGCTGAGTCTTTTTTACAGAGTAGAGGTATGCATTCGTTTCCATTTGAGTTGCATGCAAACCTTGAATTTATGAATGAACGAAAAAATTATAAGAAATAAGGTAAAATCTACTAACAAAGAAACAGAAAACGTGAAAATGAAAAAGAAATGACGAAAGAATATATTTAATTAGAGAAAAGTTTCATCCTTGCAAAACAAATATAATTAGAACAGAGTTGATAACAGATGTAAGAATGACCTTATAAAATTCAGTTATAAGAAAACTTGAATAGAAATTTATTAATAAATGATCTCAATATAAATGCAGATTATCAGATCATTAAGTATCTGATTTACCCTTAATCCATTTAATTATTTAGTTTAGCTTAGCCATGGCACATATATTTCATTCACGTGAAACAATACTCCAGTAGTGGGAGACTTGAAGAAAATTAAAACTTTTTGACTTAAGTCTACTCTGTGATACAAAGTCCCTAAAGAAATCTTGAAGATAAGTCAAACCAACCAAAAGGTAAAAAATCTTCTTTCTTAATGTTGGTCCCATTCTCCATAAACTTCTTCATCCAAGATGTTCAGCAGGTTTTTCCAAGGACCCATCTGAACTTGGTTGGTGATTTTTATTCAGATTATCGACATTTCTCATCAATTCCCCATTCTAAACAGAGCGCAAAACAGGAGATGCGAGTGTCGGTTTCGGGACACTTGCTATTACTGTGCAATGCCAAAAGCCTAATCATAAATTCTTCATAGATACCGATTCTTTCTGCATGGAGAAGCATATATCTGAAACTATAAAGGAAACAATTATATGGTGAGACAAGAAGAAATACTTGTTCAAGTCAAGTAATGTTGCTTGTTGACCAAGACTTAAGAGATAATATAAGAAATCTAATTATAGAAATAGTACTAGATGTTCTTTGTTTTATTATCTTTTTTAAATGCAAGGCCACAGGGGTACCATTAATTGAATTGACTCCTGGAAACCAAAAGACTCCTGAATAAAATGATCAATGATAAATACTTTTCAAAAGGAAAACGAAAGGACAGCCCAGGACAGTGGTAGTCTTCTCATTACTCCAGATTATCCAAGATAGTGACAAGTCTAAGTATCCTGAATTGTTATTTTCTTCCCGTTCAAAAGAAGTGTGACTTTTGGAAAGCAATTTAACTATCCAATTTCAATGATCAACCTCAACACCACTTCCTGTACTTTTCTCTTTTTCTCTTTTGAAGCAAAAAGATCAAGAACCCTATACCGATCACAAACCCCACATTTTTCTCTCTTCCATAAACAGACTTCAATTTTTAATCTTCAAGACTGACTCTTGACTTTCTCTCTCCCTTTCTCCCAAAGAAACCCACATACCTATTTCAAGAGACGGTTTTTTAAACATCATTTGTGAGTTCCAACAATGAAGGAAGGGGTACAACTTGGCGTTGAAGTAAGACAAGAGTTGATGCTTTCACCAAGTGATGGGATTCCTACAAAGAAGCTAGCCCATTTTCTCAAACCTACCATTAGATCTTCAAAAGGTGTGGTTTTTGAGCTTCCTTCCGACTGTCTAGACCATTTACCACCCACTTTTGAGCCAAAAAAGTGGCCTTTGAAAGTGGCTTATCATGGATGGAGGTTCCCACAAACAGACGGGAGAAAATGGGTGGAAAAAATGGCTGCTTTGCATGAATGTACATGGGAGAAAGCTGGTCTACAAGAAGCGATCTTGAATTCTGTCTATAAAATTAAAAGAAATGATGATTTGGTTCTTGGTCTTGCAGAGAAATGATATCCTGAAACTAAAAGTTTCAGTTTTTTCTTGGGGTGAAGCTACAATCACTCTAGAAGATTTGCTGATTGTAGAGTACTCTGTGTTAAAGTCCCCTGTTTTTTGCCCTGTTGAAACAGATTAGTTGAATAAGTTGGAAAAGAAATTGAATCAAGTAAGATCAGAACTCAACAAGAGTACAAGCAAGAAGGCATTACATAGTTCATGGATCACGGTCTGTTCTTAGCCCCTATAATGTAATTGTCAAATCTGTATTTCCTATTGCAGTACGTTTAACTAGAGGGACTAGAATTGCACTTGCACCTGCTGTTCTTGCCGGCATTTACAAAGATTTGAGTTCATTGAAAGAAAACATTGTTGTTACAAAGATTTTGGGAAAGGTTTTTGCACTTGAGGCCAGAGCCTAATTTGATCAAAACGATTGAACCGAGATTTGCTTGTTGGCATGAGCAATTTATTGTTGTTGAGAATGTGAGGAAAGCAATAGATTCAGCGAAAGGCGATTCAATTGGCGTCCCTATGTAAAACCTGTTACAAATTGGAACTCTCCCAAGTTTTATGGAGAAAAAGAAATGTTGATTTCTGTTGATCCTAATTTATCTGAAGAACTACAGTCATTTGCTCATTGCTTGAGGGTTTCTGAGCTAGTTGGCTTTGAATGTATAGAACAATACCTTCCACATCGTGTTGCAATGCAATTTGGAATGGATCAAGATCTTCCACCTCCTGTTGCTCGAATCAATAAGACTCCTTCTATTGCTTGGAACTATTACAGTAAGCCAATTTGTTACGATTTGTACATTCCATAACGGCTGAATGAGGGAGATGTAACAAGCCTATACTCAGAGTGGTGGAAACAACCGATCTCATGTCTGCAAGGTGCTAGTGAGTGTAGCTTCACTGGTACTAAAAAGACCATGGAGATGGCAAAAGGAAAGAGGGAAGCTGATGCTTCATCAAGGTTTAAGACAAAGCCAAAGATATTGGGAGGAACAAATGCAAAGAGTTTTATTAAAAGGTTCAAAATAACACCGAGGTTTGATGGAATGAATAAAGTTGATGGTGTCTCTGCTCATTCTAGTTCCATGCTGAAGAGTTCGAGGGAAGGGAATGATTCCTTGGTTCCTCCGAGTTTTCCTCCAAAATCTATTGTGGCTGAAACAAAAGATTCAGCAAAAGAATTTGATATGACTACTGCAGATTTTATGAAATCTATTATAAAGCATGATGATGGGAATAGTAGACAGGTTCCAGATGTTAAACATACGTCAAGTCAATCTCAAAAAATTTCCTCTTCAGCCACAGGTGATGGGGCTTTGATCTACAGACAG